TGAGATGGATGGAGAAACGAGCACGTTACCTTGGATACAAACCGGTAGAAGAGGAGCTTAGTGACTGTGGTTAACCAGCTGAGCTAGCAGGCTAGGTTGGGCAGTTAATATTAAACTGATTCAACAACAAAGGGATAAAACTAATAAACGAGAGCAGGAAATGTTTGAAGTGTAGCTGCTTTAGCTTAGGGTTAAACTAAGTAAAACCACGTCTCCGTGTAGCTTCGCCTCGAACCTAATAAGCGTTTGAAAACAAGCTAACGTTAGCTTCCATACCTATCGTCTTCCAACCCGGCGACCACTGCACATTATCCTTCACTTCTACCAACACAGAATAACAGGAAGCGGGTGATGACGAGTTAAAAAATACCACAGGCGTGACGACAAAATATGTCTGCTCCAAATCCTGGACAGATAAAAAACAAACAAGTGATTCCTCCACCGAGCTCCAGCTGGCTGTCAATTCCTCTGAACGCCAAGAGCCGCAGCCAATCACCGTTGGACTAGGCACAGGTGGAGCGCTTGTTTTATCCGCTGCGATGGTTTCACTGGTCAGAGGTGGGGGGTGTTTGATCGGAACGTTGTCAAAGCGAAGATACAGAGTTATTAATCACTCCACAAGTAAAACAAAGAATTTACCTTTTTCTCCGTGGTACGATCTTATATACGAAACAATTCTCGAGCTTTGAGCTTTTGATGTCAACAATTTTTAAACCAGAAAACCCAAATATAAAAATCTACAACTTGTTATCATACAAGCAGCTTTAATGTAGAGAATACGGTAGTTCATAAGAATGTTTGTGTTGGATGTGTCTGTTGTATTAGGGCGTGGATGTTTGACCTTAAAGCCTTTAATCTAATAGGAAATGACGATGCTAACGTGTGTCAGACCGGCTACAGTTGGGTGAATGTCTGCCTATCATCGAGAGCTAATGATAATAATAATAATAATAATGATGATGATGATGATGACAACTGATGTGCTGCTACGTCATATTTGCCATGCCCTGGTGTTATTAAAGCTGCTACGTCTTATTTGCCATGCCCTGGTGTTATTAAAGACGCTGGTCACAAACACAGTCGTCCATTCTGGTTTTTCCAGAAGTGTGTGTTCGCCACTCGTGTGTCCTCCACCGTCTGAGGATCCTGGTCCTGAAGAAGCGTGGGGTTCAGTTTTGAAAGAAACTTTTTTTTAATTGTAGTTTTTAAACCAATAAAAGCTTAATTTTAAAATAAAATTACAGTCGTTCTGCTACAAAACTGGACTAATGTTACAGTGGAAACCTGTTGGACTGTTGGACTGTGACGGAGACAGCTGCGTGACTTCCTGTTACAGCCTTCACATCTGTAAAACAGTTTCACAATCTGACCAAACACAGCACATGTCTGCGACGTAACGGTACACACTGCAGTGTTACACTGCCACTGCAGTACCTGTGGTCTCCACCAGGGTCTGGACTGAGGTTATAATCACAGTAATATTGTGCAGTAAACTGTAGTTAATGACAGCAATGACCGCAACCGTTTTTCAGTTACAACACACCTAACAACAAAACTGTCTGAAAGGTAAAGGTGATAAAATATACGGAACACAAATCTGGGCCTGTTTAGTTGAACAAAAGGCTGATGTACTCACTGGAGTTGAAGAAAGACACACAAAGATCTTCAGCTACTCAAGTCTCTCTTTTTTTCTAGATATACAGACATACATATACATACAGCCACCTACTGCCACCTGGTGGCGTATTTATCTATATTTTGTTTGTAGTGTGTCACTGTTACATAGTCAAAGTAAATCAATAGAAGTATTTCGACAAATTAAGTAAAATCTGGTTTTCTTGCCCAGTGGTTGAGAACCGCTGGTTTATGGTCTACTGCTGAGAGGCTTCAGTGTTAAATCATGATCCAGCAGGAAACTAAATACTCTAAATACTCTGTGTATATGTTACTGCGTCGTCCCTGCTCACACATTCAGCCTTATCTGACCTTCATGACCCCTTCACAGTGAACCTTGACCTGATAACGTGTTAGTGCAGCGGTACAGCACCAGGGTCATCAGCAGGGTCAACTCTGAAGTCAGTGGGTCGCAACTTCATGATGGTGGTTTTCAGGGAGTACCACCAGCCTCTCCACGTGTACCACACTATACCGTCATCTGTCACTGCACTGTAGTGGCCTTTGGAGTAGTACACGCCGTTGAGGTGAGCTGAGTGACACCTGAGGGAGGAGACAGAAGAGAAGGTCATCCTGGAGTCTCCTTCAGCTGGAGTTCCTGCTCGTCTCCTCGACCTCACTTGTTGAACCACCAGCCTCCTTTGTCCTCTCGTGCGCAGTTTCCCCGGTAGTTGTCGTTGTCCTGGTCGTAGGTGGTGAACTTCATGCCTCGGTGCCCGGCCCACTCCGACACCCCCACCTGAAGACTTCCAGACAGAGCGTCCCCCGCTGTCCCTGTATATGCTCCGAAGGTGAGCCGATAAAAATCCTTCAGAAAGAGTCACAACATGAGATGACGCACTCGCATGAGAAAAAAAAAGTTTAAAGTGAAAAAATGAGCACCTCCTCGTTGGCAACTTTAAATTCCTGGTACTCAGCGTAGCGCTGGTTTCCATCAAAGTCTTCCAGGTTAATCCTCAGAGTGTAATTTCCTGGAAAAGTCAGATTAAAACTATGAAGACGTCGTGATAATCAGAGTCACACACACACACACACACACACACAGCACACACACAAAAATCCAACCAGTGACATCTTGTACAGTGTTAATAATGTTGATAATGTTGATAATGTTAATAATGTTAATAATGTTGATAATGTTGATAATGTTAATAATGTTAATAATGTTGATAATGTTGATAATGTTAATAATGTTAATAATGTTGATAATGTTGATAATGTTAATAATGTTAATAATGTTCATTAATCTTATCTCACCTCTAGTTTGTTGACAACAACTAAACCAATGACTCACACACCCCGTTGATAACGTTGATAAGGTTAATAATGTTAATAATGTTAATAATGTTCATTAATCTTATCTCACCTCTAGTTTGTTGACAACAACTAAACCAATGACTCACACACCCGTTCTGACTGTAGTCTCATTGAAACAACAGTAAAGACCTTGTGAAGTGATGTTATGTAGTTTGTCGTTCCCGATCCAAAACTCTCCAGACTCTGACTCCAGGTCTCCAAAACCATCCTTATACTGGGTCCAGGACCTGAGACAGAGGATGGACGGACAGGTTGTCAGACATGTCCCTGCAGAGGACGGTGGTTGTCCTGTGAGGACACTCACCTGTTAAACGTCTCGCCTCCATTGGTCCGTCTCTGGAGGACGGTCCACCCTCCTCCGTCACTCATGTCACAGTAGACTCTACCGGTCTGGACTCTGTAGGAACCACTGGACCTGAACCCTGATGTGAAGAGCTGGGCACAGTCTGACGCACACACACACACACACACACACACACACACAATGACAACATTTTCTATATTGTACATTTCTGCAGAATGGCAGGTAAATGTCCAGAGGTCAAAGTTCAGGTGGACCTGTGTCCCGGGGGTCCTGACTCTGGTTGACTGGGACTCTGTGGTCAGGCTGGTCCAGCAGCTGTAACCTGAGGAGGAGGAGTTCTTGTTTGTGAAGCTGGTCTTCCAGAAGCTTCTCCTGTTGCCGCAGTGTAGTCACCTCCTCACGGCAAACATCAGACGACTGAACACACAGTATTACTACAGTATTACTACAGTATTACTACAGCATTACTACAGGGATCTTCCAACAGTAAATCATACTAAAATCATCGTGTTCTGAGTTTATTCCAACATAAAAAAACCTAAATATTACTCACACACAGGAAGTGAGAGAAGGCGGTGAGGACGATCAGTCTCCTGAACATCTGCTCTGACATTTTCACTCTGTTATTTCAGCAGAACAAAAACTCTGAGAGTCGAAGTAACAGCAGTCGACGTCGACGTCCGAACGCGTGGATCTGTGGCTGTTTCTGTTCCTTCAGGAATTCCTCACATCTGCAGCAGATCAGAGCTGAGGCCAAAGACACACCTGATTCTCTGCTGCAGAAAATACACAACATATGAAGTGGGCGGGTCAGCAGCTGGAGGGGAGGGGGGTGAGGGAGGGGGTGAGTGGGTGAGTCAGGAAGTACACAGCAACACTGAGTGTAAAGCCCAGAAAAAGGTTGAATCTCAGCCGTAGGTCATGTGACTCAGGTTGAGTGATGCTGAAGGTCAAGAAAGGTCACCTCCAACCAGCACAGAAAAATGACTTCTTTGAAAGACTCAGAAAGAAAGAAAAGTGAAAATGTTTTATTGGTTATTATTCATGGATCAGATTCAGACGGTGTTTTTTCACTGTTGACCCTGTCAGTTCTACAGGAAACCATCACAGTTCTACAGGAAACCATCACAGTTCTACAGGAAACCATCACAGTTCCATCTGATCTCACTCTCAGGAATCAACGCCTGACTTCCTCTGATGAGGCTCCCCCCTCCGCCCCCCCGACATGGTCTGGATGGGTTTTCCTGAGAGACAGAAGGAGCAGAAAAAGTTAGAACAGGAGAAGAGGAGAGGAGAGAAGTCAGACCTCCTCTCTCCTCAGACAGACCTCCTCTCTCCTCAGACAGACCTCCTCTCTCCTGGGGCGTGGTCATGTCGTCTGGCTGAGCGTCGTCTGTTTTCTTGTAGTAGTACTGTTGGTCAGGAGGACCGAATCTCTGCACAGAACAAACAGTCATTACAGCACAGGGGGGGGGGGGGGGGGGAGTGGACTTGGAGCAGTCCCATGGACAAACGGGTGTCCACTGTACCTTGTCAGGCCACATGAAGCTAACAAAGAGGATGATGGGAAGTCCAACAGTGAAGACATAGAGACCCCAGAGCCAGGGATGCTGGTGAGTGGCCAGCAGGAGTCGCTCTATGATCCCTGCCTGGGAAAGAACATCACTGAAAACAGGAGGGAAACGACGCCTTGTATTGGATTTAGCAACCTCTGGTGGCCACGGTGTAGATTGTTTGAATGTGCAGGACCGTATGTCGTGTAATAATCTGGGCCCAGAGTCAGGTGTAAACCTGATTTATTGTTTGGAATTCAATACCAGTATTGATAAATAATACACAGTTCAACAGTGTATATCAATGACTTTATTAAAAACCTTTAATCAACGTTACATTTCATAACCTCTAGAGGTCGCCAAAGCTCTGCCTCATGTTGATGTATACTTTCTCACATCGTTACTGCAGTTCTACTCCATGCCGTAAACACAGTTTAACATTTTACTAATTTCATTTTTAGTCTCACAAAAATATGCCGTAATATTTTAGCCGTGAACTCCAGTCTCACCTCGGCTGCAGACGACACTGGGGTCACACACTCCGCCAGAGCAACACACAGCAACACAAAGCTGAGTTCCATCTGAAACACACACACACCGGACACACACACACACACACACACAGAGTCATTCAGTCCAACAGAGCCCAAACACAGATGTCAACAACACAGCAGCAGATTTAGACCAAAAAGATCTGGACAAAGACTGACAAAGACTGACAAAGACTGACAAAGACAAAGACTGACAAAGACTGACAAAGACTGACAAAGACAGGAAGAACATACTGGTCAAAACACGAAACACGAGAAACAAGAAGAACAGAGCAAACACAGGAAGTCGAGTTCTACCTGGAGCTGAGAACAGAAGTCTGTCAGTTCCTCTGATCTCAGGTCAGTGGTGGACTTTACCCCTGAGTCACCACAGAGTGAACACACACACACACACACACACGTTTGTATAAACTGTTAACCATGTTCACGTAAAGTAAACTACCTGGAGGATCAACACTGACCACCACAGACCACCACAGACCACCAATGTAGGAACAAAAACAAGGAGAGTTATTTGACATCACACAGAGACAGTTTAGTTTTAGTACTACAACTAGTACAACTAGTACAACTAGTACAACTAGTACAACTAGTACAACTAGAAGTAGTACTACAACTAGTACAACTAGTACAACTAGTACAACTAGTACAACTAGTACTTCAATTCTCCTGAAACCACAGAGACAGAGAGAACAGCTCCTAAAAGGAATCAGATTATGTTACGTACCACAAGAGGGAGCCCAAGCATAATTTGATACTGTAGACAGGTTAGGGACAGCAGGGGGCGATAAAACATCATGTCATATTGTGGTGTTGGAAACGATTTTTGTTGAAATCAAAAAGAAAGAGCAGCCGTCTTTGACCTTTGACCTTTGGCTCAGGTCTAGGCTGTGTCGGCGGTTGGGTGTGTGGGGTGAGACTGTACTTCTGACTGTTGTTTGTCCGTCACAGCCGGATGTTGACTTCACTGTGTGTAAAATCAACAGTCGTTTCGTTTCCATCGGCGTCTGATAAGAAGCCGCTGCCCGTGGTCGCCGTGGTGACGCTGTGCTCCAGTGCAGTGATTCGCCGCTTCAGCCTCAGCTGGGAGGAGTTGAACTCACTCTGTAAACGGGCCAGGCAGGTCTGAAAAGATTTTAAAAAAGAAGATTGAATCATCGGTGGACAAAGTGAGGGGCGCGGACTGACGGGCGGCTCAACTCACTTGTAACCGGTCCAGACTGGTTTCCAGCCGCTCCACTTTTCCCTCCAGCTCCTCCCCTGCAGACACGTTCATGTCCTCAAGAAGCCCCTCCTTCTGCAGGATGTCCCGCCCCCTCTGCTCCAGCTGGGCCCTGGCGTAGGGGAACTCCTGCAGCGCCTCCATCAGGTCGTGTTTGGACAGACAGAACAGGTCGGAGTAGCCCAGGCTGCGGATGTTAGCCGTGCGCCTGTTGCCCATCTTACTGCCACTGATGTTCAGGATGCTGATTTCACCGAAGCAGCTTCCTGCCGTCAGCACAGCAAACTGGGTGACGCCGTCCTCGCCCACCACAGCCAGGCGGCCATCTTTAATGATGTACATCTCCTTTCCCACGTCGCCCTTCGGAGAAAGTTCTGATTTGTCACGTGTTGCTGCAGTTATCGTCTGCAACCGATCAGTGCTAACTGATGCTAGCATAAATGACAGCTAATGCCTAAAATACACCACTACTGACACAACAACAACGACAACAACAACAACGTCAACAACGACGACAACAACAACGTCAACGACAACAACAACAACGACAACAACTACAACAACAACAACGGCAACAACTACAACGTACCTTTCTACAGATGTAGTCTCCAGGGCTGAAAACCTGGGGCCTTAGTTTGAGCACCAACTCCACCAGAAGGCTAGCTTCACAATCCTGGAAGATACACACCTGTTCATGCACACACACACACACACACACACACACACAGACATGAACTATAAAATGTAAATGTGGTCCACAGTCATCCTGATGACGTCAGACGTCGTCATCTTTCTTCTACTTCATTTAAACCACAACAACAGCTCCATCTTGTGTTTATTTGTGGTAGTGCTGTGATTTCTAGGACAAACATTGAAAACAACTAAACGTCCTGTCCGTCCGTCCATCCGTCAGTCCATCTGTCTGTCCATCCATCTGCCCGTTCATCTGTCCGTCCGTCTGTCCATCCGTCCGTCCATCCTTTCGATCTGTCTATCCGTCTGTCTGTTCGTCTGTCTGTCTGTCCACCTGTCTGTCCGTCTGTCTGTTCGTCTGTCTGTCTGTCCACCTGTCTGTCCGTCTGTCTGTTCGTCTGTCTGTCTGTCCATCTGTCTGTCCATCCGTCTGTCTGTCCATCTGTCTATCCGTCTGTCTGTTCGTCTGTCTGTCTGTCCATCTGTCTGTCCGTCTGTCTGTCCATCCGTCTGTCTGTCCATCTGTCTATCCGTCTGTCTGTTCGTCTGTCTGTCTGTCCATCTGTCTGTCCGTCTGTCTGTTCGTCTGTCTGTCTGTCCATACGTCTGTACGTCTGTCTGTCCGTCCGTCTGTCTGTCCGTCTGTCCGTCTGTCCATCCATCCGTCCATCCGTCCGTCCGTCCTCCAGCCTCATCTTCACCTTCTTCAGTGTTTCCAGGTGAACGTTAATGGCGATCTCGGCTCTCAGTTTGGTGGGCAGGCTCTTCAGCACTTCCTGTTCATCGATGGTCTTCTGATTGGTCCAGAGGTAGTCGTACCAGTGGATGACACGTTGCTCCAGGGTTTTGCTGACGTGTCTGAAGTGCATGTAGTGTTTCAGCGCATCGACGCGGCTCTGGAAGGCGGTTCTCGTGGCGTTCATGTTTGAAATCATGGCGCCAACGTTACCGACGATGGAGGCAAAAATCAGAACGCCGACCTGGACGAGGAGAAAAGTCACACGCTGAAAACAACCTGGAGTCACCGTCCTCCCCCCATGACGGACACACACCTACCAGAAAATCAAATATGAGGAAGAGGTACTCCTCGTCTCTGACAGGAGGAGGTGTTTCTCCAATGGTGGTCAAGGTCAGCGTGGACCAGTACAGACAGTAGACGTAACGTCTAGTCAGGGAGCCAAACTCTGGGTCTGAAGCATTGGGATAAACCCAGGGGTCGGAGCCCAGACCCAGGACCTTGGAGAAGCTGTAGTAGCCACAGGCGTTCCAGTGGATGATGACCAGGATGTAGAGAACCAGCTTACAGATGCGGAAGGCGTTGGGGTAGCCCGTTCGTGTTTCCGTACGCTCAAAGAACTCAAAAAGACGGGGCAGACGCAGCAGACGGTTGAAGCGAAGAAGGGCGGTGTAGCCCACTCCCACGGTGAGGTAGAGCAGGTCGGTGGGAAGGACGGAGCAGATGTCCAGTTTACACTGCACCGTCCGAAGGTAGGTTTCCCTCAATCGCCGCACGTCCTTCACCATCAGACCCTGGTCCAAGAAACCTTCACAGGCACCACATTTATGGAGCGCTCATCGCTCATCCAGGTCCACGGAAGGTTCCGTGTCATTATCAGTTTTCATTACCTGTGTGAAGACGGACGGCGATGTCCAGGATGTAGACCCCGTCACAGATGTAGTCCAGGACCAGCCACACCTGAACGTTGTTCATCTGAAGGTCCTCAAAACAGGACCTGGGACAGAGCCGGGGGGGGGGGGGACCAGGTACATGTGTAGTACAGGTGTAGTACATGTCAGGACTGTTTACCTGACAACCAGCAGGGTCCAGTTATAAAATACTGCAGTACTGATGAGTACCAGCCAGTAGTAGTACACATCGTCAGATGGAGATAGAACCAGGGCAGAACTTTGTTTTCTGCTGAAGAACACAGAGGTGAAGAGGTCAGACGCGTCACTAACAGATGACCTTTTGACCTCTGTCATCGACCCCTCGGCCTCACGTGCGTCTGGTTCGTCTGATTCCATTATCGACATCAGAGCCGGCGTGGTTGTTGCTGAATCTGCTGGGGGCGGCCCGTAAGTCCAGGTGGGCGGGGCCTCGGAAACGCTCTAAAAAGGAATCCGGACGCTCCACCTCCTCGACCAGACTCTTCTGGGCCCAGTCCCTTAGGTTTATCACCAGACTCACTATCCTGAAGAAGTACAAGTACACACAGGTACACACAGGTACACAC